TCATACTAAGCATTCTACTATTGCATTGTTGGAAAAGTCATGACTTATTTTTCTGGGATTTTCTATGCAAAAAATGCGTCATGATTTTTCCGATGACCCAATAGTTTTGTTTTAAAATGACCAATAGCAATTACCTCAATTTAGGAACTTGGATTTTATTTGAAATTTTTTCCCAAGTATCTCAGTTTCATTTTGGTAAGAAGATCTGTTGTTTTTTTGTTTGTTTGTTTTAACATTTTTTTTTTTTTGGAGAGATTTTCACTGTAGGGCGCGTGCGCTAGCCAGACAGACAGAGAGAGACACAGAGACAGAAAGCGAGAAATCACCCCCCAGGGGGGGATGGTCACGCCGCAATCCCTTCTCCTCCATTCTCCTCTCGGGATCTTGGGCACGCACGCACACGTGCCCGGCGTGAGTTTTAAGCCACCGGATCCGGGACACGAACCGCGGTTGACTACGTGGGAGTCCAGCGACATAGCCATTACGCTAACTGCTGGTTCCCAAGATCTGTTGTTTTTGAAGACAAGTGAAATAGGAAGCTTTTCAAAGCTCCTTCTCCACTGTTTGCTGAAATTGTTGGAGCAATTGGATGGAGTGGCCATGTACCTCTCTGTTTTCATCAGGTCTATGAATTGCCTTTTGCAACTTTGGTAACCCTGTCACCATGCACATAATTTACATAGGATCATGCTATATCAGTGCTTTCTTCTGTCTTCTGACAAAGGTCAATTAAGTTCACTGTCAATAAACTTTTAAAATGTACAAGTTTTTTTTTTTTAATTTTTGAGAGATGTTTTGTTATAAGGGCGTGCGCTCACCAGAAAGACAGAGAGATAGAAAGTGAGAAATCACCCACCCCCCCAAGAGGGGTGGCCACGCTGCAAACCCTTCTCCTCCATTCTCCTCTTGGGATCTTGGGCATGCATGTACATGCACCCAGCGTGAGTTCAAGCCACCAGATCTGGGACTTGAAACGCGGTCAGCTACATGGGAGTCCAGAGACACAGCCATTACACTAACTGCTGGTCCCTGTAGGAGTTTTTAATGAATCAAAATACTTCACACCTGGATATTCTGTACTCTCATTCATTGCTAATTCGCCATGATAGATTTCAACCACCAAGTTCCTGTATTTGTTGTCAACACATTGCATGCCACAGAGTTAGTCAGTCAAGCACGGTGGGTCCCTCAGATTTCTATGTTGTACTTTCTCACTCGAGGTATTCTTTGTAAAACCAGGTTCTACTCTTCATCTAACAATTCAAATGGGTTAATATTTGTTAATTTGGGAACCAGCAGATGGTGTAATGGTTATATCACTGAACTCCCACATAGTTGACTGCGGTTCAAGTCCGGGACCCAGCAGCCTAAATCTCATGCCAGGTGCGTGTGTGTGCATGCCCAAGATTCTGAGAGGAGAATGAAGGAGCAAGGATTACAGCATGGCCATCCCCCTGGGGGTGATTTCTTGCTTTCTGTCTCTCTGTCTCTCCAGTGTGTGTGTGTGTATATATATGTATATTTACATTTGGTAATTTGTAGATTATGCCTGACTTACTTTAGAAAGTGTAAACTATCTTTGTCTTCTACCAAATTTGTCATCTCACATTATTTTTCCACTTGCTTTTATGGTTTTTTTCCTTTTATTTTAATGAAGACCTTCATATTCCCCTTACCTTGAACTACACAGTACACCTGTCTATGGGTTTTTGCCTTGCAGTCTCCTTGGGATTTCACCCCATGTCTCTCCCCCACTAGCGCTCACATTCCTGAGAAACAGCAGCTTTGTCTCTGAGTGACACCAGCTCTTCTAAGGTCCATAATAGGGATTTCGTGTCATTCTTTGACCAATAAATATTGACAATTGGTGTTCTGTGCCAGTGGGTTCCATCTACACGTCAGTCAACACAGATAAAGACATTTCATGTTGTTGGGGACCAGCAGTTAGCATAATGACTATGTCACTGAACTCCCATGTAGTCGACCATGGTTCAAGTCCTGGACCCGGTGGCTTAAACTCACGTGGGTGCGTGTGTACGCACGTGCCCAAGATCCCGAGGAGAATGGAGGAGAAGGGGTTGCGGCATGGCCATCCCCCCTGGAGTGGGTGATTTCTTGCTTTCTGTCTCTTTCTGTCTTTCAGGAGAGCACATGTGCCCTGTAGCAAAAAACCTCTTACAAACAAAAAAAAAAACATTTCATGTTGTAGGCATGTACTATGCAGTTAGGTCTCCAATGACTGTATCCATACTGACATGTTCTGACTTGTTTTTCATATCATTATTCACTACACAATATGCTGGGAACTATTTACATTGCATTTCTGTAGTATTAGGCATTACAAGCAATCTAGATTTAAAGTATATAGGAGGTACATAGGGTATATGCAAATGCTGTGCCATTTGATATAAAGGATTTGAGCATCCTTGATTTTTGGTATCCACAAGATGTCATCCTGGAACCAATCCCCAGAGAATACTAAAGGATGGCTATATATTCTTCTTACTGTCTAAATACTTCCTGTTTTTAGGTACACCTTTTTTTTTAAGGGAGATATTTACTAAAGGGCATGTGTGCTTGCCAGAGAGAGACAGACACAGAGAGCTAGAAAATGAGAAATCACACCCGGGGGGGATGGGTACTCCACAATCCCTTCTCCTCCATTCTCCTCTCAGGATTTTGGGCATCCAACCACATGCACCTGGTATGAGGTTCAAGTCTCCAGGTTCTGGATTAGAACCGTGGTCATCCATGTGGCAATCCAATGCCTTAACCAGTATGCCACCTGCCAGCCCCAATAAATTGTTTAAGGACATATCCAGCTCTTTTATGCCCCAAATAAAATTGGTCACCTTTCTTTGAGAAGAGAAACTCCCACCAGTGTGGCACTTCCCTACTGACTGGTTAACAGATTCCCCCCAAATTCTTTTCCTAAGGTTCACAGAGCATGTTACGTTAATTCATGATAGCTTCACAGCAACTCTCAAAGGTAGATTTGTTTGTTTGTTTTCCCTACGTATGAGGAGGTCAAAATCAAAGAACTTTACTGATCCAAATGTGCTGAGCATGGAAGAGGTATGAAGTTTTCTTATTCTAAGGTTAGTGTTCATCCCAGTAGACCACATCTGTCTCCATGAGGAAGCAATGATAAAGTCAAGTCCAAGGCCAAAGCTAAAGGCCTAGACTGAGCAGCTTTCTTCCCCAGCTCCTCCCAGGCAGATGGCATATGACTGTGAGAAGGAGCCATCAACACTGAGGGTCTACCTGTAATTTCTTAGTCACGTACCCTCCTACCCATGAGCTAAAGAATCACACCTCTCAGATAAAATTGGGCACCTCTGGGTGTTGCCATATGCTTCAGGGTCACAGTAGCCAGGAACATGTGATAGTGATGTAGTTTAAGCTCTGGAGAAACCTATCTTTGTCCATTGCTAATTCACATAGCTGCATCAGTCCCAAGTCTGTACTACTGGATCATAAATGCTTTGGGGGTTACCAACATGTTCTCGTCTACTTAAAATTTCCTAGAGTCTAACATAGTGCCTGGGACACAGTAACAGTATTTTCTTAAAATATCTTTTAAAAATGAATTTTTTACCACAAGGTAATAATATCCCATCATTACTTTATAATTCTACAATGTCATATTAAATATATGAGCCCAAAGAAAGACTCTATAAAGTCTCTTTCTAAATATTTTGATGTTTAGATTCAATAAGTGCTCATAAATAACTTTGTAAACAAAAATTTAGGGGTCCTACCACTTACTTCAGAAAGGTCTATATCGAGTCATAGCAGATTCAATCTAGGTGTTGTTGTCAGTTATGCAAAACAGATTGAAAAAAAATTTCGGATTTACGCAAGGCTTATTAAGAGGCTTAAAAATGATCAACATTTTGAACTTTGCAAGTTAGCAGAAATTAAAACCCTGGATCAGTGTGTGTGTGTGTGTATATATACATCTGCCTGTTGTCAAGTAGTCACTTGCAAACTACACAAAACCCAAGTGTTCTGAAGTATCACAATGGCCTCATTGAAATGATTTCTCAATAGAAAGTAGAGATGAACATAAACCCTGCCTCTAAGATGTAAACCTTCTCTGCTGCCTAATTTAGGCAGCGGCACATAGGGTATATTTACATCCTCCCTCCCCCCAAATCACTCTCCCAAAGGCTGTCAAAGGACTTTCACTAATTCTTAGGAAATGTGCAAAAAGGATTTCCATAGAGGTCTTTGGAGATTTCCTGTGTCTTCATGTGTGTAATAGGTTGGGTCAAGTGACAACGAAGGAAGAAGAAAGAATGGCGATTTTATTTCATGTATTTTTTTCTCCTGACCGTTGAAAGAGAAGAAAAAATGGAAAGAGGGACATTATACCATGCAGATGATGTCAATGTTAAATTAAATTAAGATCGTATGTTTAGCTATGGCAGCTGTAATCTTTTGATTATTGAAGAGATTGTTGGTAATGAAGTACATTCGCAAGAAATATTTTTAGTGTATTCTATATATGTGCACAAACTATGAGATATGCATCTAATAAAATGATAGATTTAGAAATCGCCTGGCATCTACATTCATGCTTTTAAAACAGCTATTTATAGAAATAAAAGTGATAGTTAAGCTATCGTTGTAGAATATTACAATCTGCCTTATTTTACCTTAGATAATAGTTCTATATTTTAAAATAATGCATAAACCATTCAATTATTTATTCACACCTAAGTTATATAAATTGGAAGATTTGGAATTGTGCAAGAAAAGAATTGCTTTTACAAAAATAAGACCTCCCTATCATGGCTTAAAGAGATGGTGTGAAACAAGTTACACTATAGATAGAAATAAACCAAACCGGTATGAATTTTTAATCAACAAAAAATGTTTTATAGAGACATTAAAAACAACTAACAACTATTAATTTTCATCTTTTCTGTTATGAAATGAAACGTCGGCGTATCTGACTGTGCTATGTGTTCAATGTGTGTTTCCCTTCCTGATAGGCCCTCAACGCTTACAGTAAAATCTCTACAGACATGGAAGATGATCTCAGCCTGGGGAGAGCCTATGAAGCCATAGCCAAGGTCCTGCAGAGGTAAGTTAGCACATCCTTGTCTTGCTGTCGCTGTGAATTCACTCGACTGTGAAAGACTTAAATTGTTTGAGGTCTGTCGCTTTCCATTACTGCCTGCTTAAATTTTAAGCAGTGCCCTTCTTAAGTGACCCTTTCATCGTAAGTTATTTTAAACCAATGTGGTATTTTAAAATATGCATCTGAACTCTTCTTTGTCTATTCCTCCTTTGTACTGTTTGGTTTTTTGGTTTTTCTTTTTTGTAAATTCAGTGATGACCTTGAATGAAAGGGGGGAAAAAAAAAAAAAAAACAGGTCACATCTCACAGGTTAAAAAAGCAGAGAGCACAGAAATATGTAGTACGCTTCAGTAACTGGGGCTCACCATAACCTTTCCGGATCTCTTCTTTGAGGAAAGTTTCCATTTATACCTCAGTCCTGCTCCGTCCATTAAGACATCTCTCCTTTGAGCAATATTGGATAAACAACTGGGTGTAAAACCAATATCTCCAATATTTCATTTAAAACAGAAAGTTTTAACAGGATACACAAGCAGCTTTTAAAAGTTATTTTATCTTGTGATTTCTTATTTTTGTCCTGTCATCTCTGTAGTGCACAATATGGTTTTTCAAAGTAGGCACTCAGTAGGTGACAGTCTAATCCAGGATGTTATCATGTGTACCATTTTCAACAGAAAAGTTTACATTCTTGGGTCTGTGAAGTGTCTCTTCCCTGAGCCCCGCCTCGACCTTCTGATGTCTAGCCCCCTCCCTTGCTGTCTCTAGTATCTCCACTTATCCTCTCTACTATTCTATGATGGATCTTCGCATTTCTGCTGTAGAATGTAGACAATCATTCTTCAGCAGGGATATACAGTGTCTGTCTTTTGTGGCCTGGCTTACTTCGCTTAGCATTGAATCTTCTATATTCATCTACTTTGAATCAAATGATAGGTCTTGTTCTTTATGGCGGAGTAGTTAGTATTCCATAGTGTATTGTGATATATGTTTTTCCATGGAAAATAGCCGATTTGCCCTTTACTCATCCAATTGTAATCATAGGTAGCATTATGACCTAAGCCGTGTTAGAATAACAATAAGAAAAGTTATCAAAGTCAAATCCTCAGCATTTTGGTATGGAATCTTATATCCAAGTTAAAGCTTTTTATGTAGTGGTAATTGTGGGAGTGGTAGCAGCAGCAGTGATAGACATAAATTGTGTTAAATTCTGATTTCTTCTCATTTCAGTTGTGAACACATGATAAGTTTAAATTTGAAAGAAATTAAAAATGGTGAATACTTAGTGAGCTTAAGGTGACTTCATTATTGTATTAGTACCACTGCTAATATAATAAACATTGTCCAAAATACCAACACCAGGCTGGACCTTATAGTTTAGTGGTTAATGGAGCGAGATCTCATATGGCCAAGAGCAATTCTAACCTTGGCCCCTCTCTTGAGAAACACACCAGGTGCTGTGTGCACTTGCCCAAAATCCCAACAGGATGGAGAAATGAAGGAGCAGGGGCTGTAGCATGAGCACCTCCCAGAGGGCTGTTTTCTCCCCATTCCTCTTTCTCTGTCTCTGTTTCAGGCTGGTGAACATGCACCCCTCTGGCATTTTTTTTTTTATACCTATACCAATGAAATGAAAGATGGATACCCTAAAAATCACCATGTAAGATGCAATCATCACAGGATTCCTGGCTTAGGAACACAGACATATTTATAAGCAGAGTATGGACATTTACTCGAGAAAGACAGAGCCAGCTGTGGATAAAGCAGGAACCTGTGAGTGCTGTGGTACAACACTCAAAGACGGGTCCTTTCCAAGGATCCAGCTATCCCTTGAAACATTTATTTTAAAAATAATAACCACAAGGGAGCAGGTGTTTAAATACGAAGAAGAGATTGACATGTATTCAACTTAATGTCTATTTGGAACAAAACAACTCTACACTCTTTTTTTTTTTTTTTTAGTTCCTTTTTATTGTAAATTACTTGATTCTGCTGTTATTGCTGTCCCAAATCAGTAGAAAATGATGGGATTCTTTGTCTTGCTTTGTAGTGGCAAGCCTGGCCTAAACCTGTACAGTTACATAAATGTATCCCTTACCATAGTTATAAAATAATTTTTACAAAATAACATTTCCATTTTATAAAAATGGCAATTTCAAATGTCCCTACATAACTAAAGAGATGAAACACCAGAAAAGAAAAATTTTCTAGAAACATGTACTGAGCATGTGTTACAGGACAAGTATCAATGCCACTCTGGTTACTGGTGGTCTTTATAATTATTTTTGGAGACATGAGATTGTCTTCAAAGAATTCTCACCTGTTAACCTTGTCTCTCCTCTAAAATATTCTTGTCCCCACCACAGGGTATGAATTCCTAGTCCATAGTCAAAGCAAAAGGGAAAGTTGAACAACTGCCTAGTAATTTTTTTTTTTTGAGAGATTTTCACTGTAGGGCGCGTGCGCTCGCCAGACAAACAGAGAGAGACATAGAGACAGAAAGCGAGAAATCACCCCCCAGGGGGGATGGTCACGCCGCAATCCCTTCTCCTCCATTCTCCTCTCGGGATCTTGGGCACACACGCACACGCGCCCGGCATGAGTTTTAAGCCACCGGGTCCGGGACGTGAACCGCGGTCGACTACGTGGGAGTCCAGCGACATAGCCATTACGCTAACTGCTGGTTCCCCTGCCAGGTAAATTTTGAAAACAACAGACAGTCTAATGTTTTAGTTTGGCTATTTAAGTATTATTTGGCGTTTAGGAGTGGGAAAGGATGAGGCTATATTTGATGTATCATGAGGCTGAGTGTGTTTTCAGTAGGGATAGGAATGATTCTGTTCTGACTCTCAGCAGCCTAGCATGTTACCTTATGCCAAACATAATGGAGTAAGAAGACTTAGCCCCATGTCACTCTTATACCAAATAAAACTAATACCACATTGTAAGAATTCTCGTCTATCCCAGTACAGTAAAGTTATCTATGATTTGTATAGTAGACATGTGTTCTTCATTTTATGTTATACAATGCACAAGAGAGTATAGAGCTTGCTTCTGAGATCATAGGGAAGAGTGTCCCAAGACCACTACAAGATTTCCAATCCAGCACTGCCATTTTGCAGTGTTAATGGTTATACAGGGGCACTCGCTGGAGTATAAAGCTCAGCATATTTTTTTTCAACATCTATGCAAAATAACTCAAGAATACGATTATTGACAGATGTTTCATAACCTAAAATACTATTCAGGTAACTCATAGAACCCTGGGCATCCTAGAAACTTTATTAAATCAGTAACTAAATGAAATAAATGTTGGAATATAAATTTTGTGGTCATTTTTTAAAACTTCCACTTCAAGGGCTTGATGTCCTTCCATAAACATACTTGTACATGTGTGTGTGCATATGTATACAGCCACTCCTCAGGTAATTAATGACTTACCTGTTAGACAACCACTCAGATTTACACCAGTTCTCCAATGCAGCGAATCCCCTTTCTCAGTCTTTGTCTTGTTCCTACAGTTGGTTAGTGCTCACTGCACAAAGCATTCACCATCATGCAAGACTGCATATTATTTGTATAAACCCGTACTTTATTGTGCAACCATAATAATATTCAAAACATTATAAATAAAAACAATTACACCAGATTTATATTATTGTGTTATGGCATGCATTGTCACTTTCTAGCACCTATCTAATGTACATTTCTTGTATGGATAGAATGGTATTGTTCTAGTGTGGTGTCATGTGATATTTATTGAAAATACATACCCTATGGTGCCATGACACACCATAAGACTTCCTTCTTCAAGCTTTGTGTTTATTGACAGAGTCACTTGATGACCTAGTCATAGGGACAGAACCAGGTCATTAAGTGAGGAGTGTCTGCAATTACCTATGTGGTATCGCCTTCATAGTCCTAACCATCCTCCTTGGATTAGCTGCAACATGCAAGAAATGGAGTGCAGCCAGAAACGAGGAAATTATGGTGGTGGCAGCAGAGAGATAAATCAAGTTTCACGTGAAGCTTAGCATCACCTCTAAATCTCTTTTCCTAACCTGTGCAATTGTACAAGTTTCCCTAATGGTAGCCCTAAATCTATAAACATATTTTATCTCTTTAAAGGAAATGGAAGAGGAGAGCCATGTCTAGGATAAGTGTGTCTGAGGCCATCAGCTGAGTGTGCATGAAAGGTGAATAAGCTCTAAGGCTAGAAGCTTCTAAAATGGTTATAAGAATTTATACTGAGCCCTCAATTGAAACACATACCACATTCCCTGCAGACAGAGGATTTGGTAATAGAGAGTTGCCCATTTGGTGATGCTAGACCCAGACTGGTGTTAAGAGTTATTGAAGAAGGTTTTATAGTGAATGAGTTTCGTTGTTTTGCTGAAGCTCTGAATACTATTGCATAAGTGTTTAAGCAACAGAACAGAAAAAAAGCATTTACAATGTTTTTTCCCCCTCCTACTTGGAGAACTAGTGTAAAAGAGTTGATATTCTAAAATAACAACAATTGCCACTACTATAAAGGCTGGAATTACAGTTCATAAAACACAGAGAAATTGAGTTGAAAATTCAAGTAAGTACTATTAAACAGATTGACAGTTTACATAAATATGAGGGAACCCTCAATTTTCCTTATGGGCTTTGGGGGGGGGTGGTTTCTGAAATAATTCATTTTCTGAAATCTTTCAAGTCTCCAATGTGATCAGGATGACCAGTTAAAAGAATCCAGAAAAAATCAACTCACAAAAATGTGTTCAAAATACATTGTTCCCAACCAGCCCATCTCTGGTTTTATTCCAAACCATTGTAAATGTTCTTGAGAACTTGAGATAAATTATTTCCTAGAAAACTTTCGACAGTGGAGATCTTTAAATCAATCAGTACAAAGTTTCAAGTGTGAAAATTACCTTTCTGTTATAGATGAAAATTAATCTCTTCTTGCATGAGAGAAATGATATGCCCTAGTAATTTTCATATATTCTTTAAAATGGAAC